GGGTTCACAAAAATTTATTCATCGCTGTGACTCCAGTTTTTCGCAATTTTTTGGGTTTTTTTTTTGCATTTTACTCATAATTTTGAGGGTGTACGGGCAATACTGACTTCAGATTCGAATTTAGCGCGTCAAAATACATAAAGATAGGTCTGGTTAAAAGTATAGACCACTTTTTTTTGTGGGCCAGTGTAATGAATACTACTTAAATATATTTTCTATTTATTTATTTAATTTAAAAACTAAATTTTATTATGTTTTATAGATTTTATAATCTTGATATTTTAAATAGAATGGTTACTTCTCTTTTACACTGGTATTACTCCGTTTTACACCGATTTAACACCGGTATTTCAACACCGGAAAGTTACACCGGTGTTATTTTACTTTAACACCGTACGGTGTTAAAATAAGTCCATTTTTAACACCGCTCTTTTTACAGTGTATTAACTTAGCAAAGCCCGATACTTTACTATGTATAGTGTAAATGATTTTTGCGAGAAGCTTCATTTTAAAGAAAATAAAAAGGATAAAACGGCTATTGTTCAGTGTGTACCGGATATCTGAGCTTGATAGAGTGTAAAGTTTAAAGAATTATGATCAATAGAGTAAACAATTGTTGAGGTAAGTATGTTTATTAATTTTTTGTAACTAAGCTTACAATTAGTATACATTTTCAATACGACGTACGAATTAATCATTTTTGGCGGTATTTGCAACAACTGTTTTGCTATTGGATTGTATTGATATCAAATTTGACTATTTAGCTACGTAAATAGTAGGTTTTCGAAGTTTTAGTCAATCAACTGAAGCAAGGTTTTAAAAATTTACTTATTATCCGAAGTTTCAAGGTCTTAGAGTTTCTTTGTAGACACTATTGTGATTATTTTTATCCAAAAAAAAATTGCCGCTCAGATTGTATTAAAAAAATTTTATACATAACAAATTTTTGTATGATTTCATTACATAAAAAACTATTTTTAAAACAATAGATAATTATTAATATACATTTACATGTATGTAAAATACATTGATATACAGATTAATTTATTTTATTTTATATGAATATATTTTATTTTTGATTGAATATTTTATTTTTAAAAGAAAATAACGAAGATAATGTTTATAAAAAAGAGAAACAAAAATCAAATTGGTTGAAAATAATTATAAGATAATTGCATACATATTTCATCTGAAAAATTCATTAATTCTGTCTCAATCATCGTCATTTTCATTTTCAATTGTAACGTCCCAGTCAATTAGAGGTGTGAAACCCTACTTTAAGATTAAATCCTATTGGCCAAAAATTTGGGCGTAACTTTTTGAATTTTTTAATATTTTCTATTGGTGGGTTATTTTCACCAATATCTTATTTAAATTCCAGCTAATCAAATCGTGGAGAATTCCGCTGCTTCGTTGGTGGTTATTGCCAACAGAGTAACGAAAATCTTCACAGATAAGACGGCTCCGAGAAGGCGTCGCGGACCGAGTTAGTCAAAACCTCGCGTCAACGTGTGACTCGGACCCCGGCGACTCTCTCGCAAGTAACCTGAGATGCATAATGGCGTCAAAACGCTGATTGTAATATTAATGAGAGCAGAGTCAAGTAAGTACCCACTGGGACTTAACGATAGACGGACGTCTGACTTGCCTCCTCTCTCTAATCCTTTATAATAAAACTGAACCTATTATATCTTAATAGACATCTCTTGAATATATAGATAACCAATCCTTGAGAGCGCTTCCGTTGTTCCACCCCAGGGTGTGAGCGCAGAAAGACGTTCCGACTTCCCTCCTACGAGCCGAGTGCTTACGGGCCGTTTTCGCGGTACCGGCTCATGCCCCGAGGAAGACGCTCACGCCGAGCAGGTCGCGTAATACAAGCTGCTCGAGCTCGACGATCTTTAAATTCGGGCTTTAAGCACACGTCCGCGAGTGAAGTAGCGAAGTCTTACGTGGAGTTGAAGGTCCAATCATCAGAGGTCCAATCATCAGGGGTCCAATTATCAGAGGTCTAATCATCCGAAGCCCGATCGTCATAGGTCGTCAATCAAAGTCAACCAGACCATCGCCCAGCGTATTGGACGAGGACCACCAGGAATTGTATGCCCGAGGAGAGCGAGCATACGAGGCCCTGTTTCGGGTACTACTCCGAAGAATATCTTCGAGCCAAAGGGAAGATCGTAAGTAAAAACCCTTTGCGGCACTAAGTTAAAAAAGTGACCAATAAATAGAGAGCTCGTCTGTGTGGGTGAATCTGTAGTCTATTGACTTCCTAACTCCACCTACCTGGATAAATTAATTATGACCGCCCCACTAAAATTATGAGACGTTACACAATCATACATTTCTGCATATTGTAAATTGGAAGGTTATCAATTAAACAATACTCCGAAAACGACACTTGATGTATGTCATCAATAGGGCCAGGAAGTTGGCGTTTTTCCTTTATTCAAATTTTAGGTTAAATATATGAATGCTCATTTAAACAACTGCGAAAGTCCTGGCCCTTGTCATCAATTACAAATTTCCATTCTGTAACATCCGGGTCCGGAACAGTTGGAAAGTTACCTGTGTACGACCGGGCGTTCCGAACTGTGATAATCTATATAAATAATTAAAAATTATTAGACTTAACTTAGGAATAAATGAGTACTTTCACATTGAATTAATTATAAGTAATAGTAGTTACGTGATTATCGTGAAATTTCAAAGATTGAGTCCGACTCAATCGAGGAATGATAAAAATCGAACTCTTTACTACTCCCTTCGAAAGAGTAAATACAAAATGCTCAACACCATTGTCAGATTGAAATCCATACGTCTTTACTATGAACCCTTTAAAACTATTTAAAAAATGTCACTAATCAGATAAGTAAACAATTTTGTATTGCACCATCGATTTCAAGATAAACAAAAATTACTTACCCATATGATCGATTAGCCCTGATGTACCGATGGCATATCTCAATAATATCTCGCAAATGCATTATCATGAATTGACCTTTTTAGTCTTTGATTTTCACGATGTTGAATTTATTTTTCTACGTAATCAGTAGAATTCAAATATTTATTTTAAGTAAATAATGATTGAATAAAATGAATTTATTATTGTATATTAATCGACAAACTTTTAATACTCTGAACATATCAACATAATTAAATACAATTATTTATCTCTATAGAAACAATAATTAAACAGTTACTTTATAATAAATTTTTATTGCGTCTGCGTGAAATAAATAAGTATTTGTTTTTAAAATGGAGTGACTTCCCGGGCAAAGAGCAGGAACATTCCGATACTCATATGATGGATATCTGTTTCACGAAGATCCTCGTTTTCGTGGCCGGCGTTACACATGTTCAGCGAAGAAGACCCAAGATGAATGCACCGTTACCGCTCTCGTTTATCAAACTGATCGAGGAGAAGTTGTAACTCTTTCTCACAACCATCATCACGATCAATCAACCCTGACTGTTTGCGAACCAGCTATTAAAGCATTAAGGGACCGTGCTCACGACTATAACCATTATCCTGGCGACATTGTCAATGGAGTCTACCGGGAGTAATTTTCTGTTCACTATTTTTAACACGCTTTATTAGCTTCACTTGTATGTATGTATGTATGTATGTATGTCTTTGATCATGAGGTGGCGATGTACAACTGTACAAAAAAAAAGATTGACTTGAGCCAAAAAAATTTTTTTTTGACACAAGAAATTTTAGTTATTCCAATAAAATTAATTCTTCTGCTTGAAGAAATACGTATCTCACTCCAAGAACATTTCTTTAAGTCAAGAAAATCTTGTTGTTTTGAAAAAATTCAACCTCTTGCTCCAAAAAATTTAATTCTTGATAGAAGTAAATTTTCTTGTCTTGAGAAAATTTATCTCTTGCTCCAAAAAATTAAAAATAAAGATAGAAGTAAATTCTAATTAATATTTTATTAATTAACATGTCAAATGGAAAGATCAAATAATATTGAATCATTTTTTTTTCAATCAATTTGTATAATTCCATGGTAAAATAATATAAAAAGGGTATCAAATATTCAAGAGAAAAATTTTCTCTCGAGTAGAAAATTTTTTTCTCAGCTCGAGCAGGTAGCGCTACTTCCCTAAGGTATCTAAAAATCTTGATCAAATACAAAAACTTACTGTATCAAATATTTAAGATAATTTGAATTAAGAAAAAATGACTTCTACCAAGAATATAATTTCAAGAAAAATTTTTACTTCAACCAACACTACTTTGGTCTTCCTTCAAGCATCTGAAAATTTTCTGCAGCCAAGAATTTTGTTCTTCAGTCAAGAAATTTTTCTTTCTGTGTGTCAGCTTCAAGTAATATCACCTTAAGCGTGTTTTTTAGTTTTTTAAACAGCAATTTTATACTTTTTATTCTAACAAAAATATTTCATTTCTTTACTTGAATTTACCGTAGATCGTTCATCCTATATATTTTTTATTTATCAATAGTTTTCCGCAAGTTGTACCTCTTTTACGCCGAGACGCGGCAAGAGAAAATGTAATGAGGGAACGGCGCAATATGATACCAGCCATTTAAGATTTAAGTATCCTTTGAATGGAATTTTAAAAAAATTTACAAGTTTACCACTTATTATTGAAATTGCTTCTGAACGTAATGAGTTATTAAATTTTTGTATAATGGATCGAAAATCTCAATAAATAAGCTTTAATTTGCCAATTCACATCTACTTTAATAGTAAAAATTATTTATTTTACTATCAATCCCACAAAATTTTAACTTTTAAAAAATGAACTCTACTTTCATTTCGGTTGCTAAAAGTCTAAAATTTTATAATGATAAGTTATTGACTATTTTTATAATTTTTTATATATAGTGGATCCCCAACCTCATGTTCAACCTGATCCTGTACCTGAACCTCAACCTCAAGCTCACCGAGCTAACCCTGAACCAGGACTCCAACGAAACCATGAACCATTTGGTGCACGAGGACGTAGACGTGGACGAGGAGGTGGTCATGGACGCGGACGAGAAGGTGGACATGGACGTGGACGTGGAGAACGACCTCAGCCATATTCACACCATGGTCGTGGTCGACTTAGAAGACTTCCACCTGAACAATTAATCAACAATGGCCATGTTGTCAACGCCGGTAACGTGCCAGGCAACGACATTCCAGGCCCTGATAATCTAGGCAACGACATTCTAGATCTCAACGATCCAGGCCTCGATATTCCAGATCTCGAAGTTTCAGGCCCCGACAATAACCCAGGCGATAACATTCCTGTGCCCGACATTCCAGGTCCTGACGATCCAGTCCCTGACATTCCAGATCCTCGGGATCCAGTCCCCGACATTCCAGGCCCTCACGATCCAGTCCCTCACGATCCAGTCCCTGACATTCCAGGCCCTGACAATCCAGATCCCTTACTCCAGAACGATGAAAATCGTGATCCACAAGTCGATTTTAACGACAATGTTGAAACCCGTCAAAATATTTCGGTTCAACGTAGACGTGGACGAGGTCGACAGCGAGGTGCCAGAGGAGGAAGAGGCAGTAGAGGTGGAAGAGGACGTGGTCAAAACAATTGAAATATCGTTCAACTCATGCCAGAAGAAAATAATAATATTGGTACATATAAATTATTGAAATTTCGATTTCACATAGGACAATAATGTTAACCTGAGTCACAAGACTTTATCGGACAATCTGAGTTATTTCAGAGCAAAAAAATATTTTCTTGCGACAAAAATTTTTACTTCAATCAAGAAAATTTTTTTCTGTGCATGTCTTCGATTTTTTTAGTCTTTTTATTTGTGAATTAATTAATTTAGTGGGCACTGTTCATTTCAGCTGGTGAAAATCTCAACCAACATGCACAAGATGCCATTCAGCGAATAAGAAATCGTAATCTCAGAGTCCTACGAGAATTAAATGGAGAAAACGATGTGTTGCCAGAAAATAACGATGCTCTCTGTAGAATTTGTTGGGCAAAAGATCGGACTCATGCATCGGTTCCCTGTGGGCACCGATTGTATTGTGAGGAATGTTCGCGATTACCAATCGTAGCTCATGGGGTTTGTCCAATATGCAGAACTGCCGTAACTTCCATGATCCGGATATGGATGTGATGTTGTTTTGATATGTTAATCTTAATATTAATTTTGTGCAAGAAGAAAGGATGTATTGACTAATATTATTTCTGCGTTTAATAAAAACTGACTTTCACTGTATTATAAGACTCATCCAATACTTTTTTATAAATCCTTGATTTGCCATTTTTTGATGAAAACTCGCTCAACAATTATCCAACAAGTTTTTGATTGCTACTCATGGCTCAAGACACAAAAATTTAGCGATTTAATCTTAAAATTGAAATTATTTGTTCAAATTATTATTTTTCTTAATGAGTGTTATTGTTGGGTTTAATGTTGGCAACTTCGTCTGTTAAGGCTTATCTTAGAAATAATTATCATTCCTAGCAACCTTCCTGTACTGACCCGGCCTTATGCCAAGCTTCAACTTTGATTTTCGCTGACAATGAAAATTAAGTTTTTTAAAGCTCCCTCATTGATTAATTATAATTAATTGACTCGTTTTTTTTTTTTTAATGTAGCTTTAAAAATATTTTATAATTAAATCATTTAAGAGTAGAGTTATTCAAGAATAGAGATATTTACGAATAGAGTTATTTAAGAATAGAATTATTTAAGAATAGAATTATTTAAGAATAGAGATATTTACAAATAGAGTTATTTACAAATAAAGACAATTCAAAATAGACAAATTTAGAATAAAAGTTAATTAACGAATAGAGTTATTTAAGAATAGAGATTTTAATAAAAAGAGTTATTTAGAAATAGTTATTATTTAAGAATAGAGATATTTAAGAATAGAGTTATTTAAGAATAGAGATATTTAGAAATAGTGTTATTTAGGAATTGAACTATTTAGTATAGAGATATTTATGAATAGAGAAGTAAAGAGTAGAGTTATTACCTTGCCGGGGAGCTTGGGCCCTAAAAATAGTCAGTCGAGCGGTGGAGTAGGCAGTCGATCTTCGAACTTACAACAGGAAGGATCTCCAAAGAAGCCAGAGGGCTAATCATTATCCAGTCGGAGCGAGTTGTACTAGCGAAGACGAGATCGGCTCAGTTAGAGATAGTTGTGATCTGCGAGATAACTGGTTAGCATTCTAAAAGTGATTCAGTTGTGTGTTAATCAGGCTATGGCGAAGACCAGGCCATTAATTAATTATTCTATTCTGGGGATCTAGTTCAATAGATAATTGTCAAGTCATTAATAGTCGAGTCTTTCGAAATAAATTTGTAAACTGTTGATTAAATTGTGTTTGTGCCGTGCCAATAATTTCAACAACTTAGCCTCTTTCTTCATCATTTAGTAATAATTAGTTAAGTTGATTATATTCTGTGACCGGATATCAGTTTTGAAGTACCTACTCCCTGAGTGTGAGCTAGCCTTAGTAACTCGGTTCCAGGAGGCCGAGTGAACTCAACATCAATTAACTCTCCTGGTGGCGTCCAGAAAATCTCTGGCGTGAACGGAATACCTTGGTTAGGGGGTCACGAAACCTGCTAAAGTCTCACTGTTTTAATCTATTGACTTTGTAAAAATGAGACAAGGATGTTAACCATAAGAGTAATTATTGTTATTTTAATTCATTTTGTTGTGTATGTCCATAATTTGTATCAACTAAAATTAATTTTTATTTTTAGTTTGCCTGATGAAGCTGAAATAAATCAGCCAAAGGTTGCAATTTCTATAATTTAACATCTTTATTTATTGTCCAAATTCCCAAGAACTAACCATTTGACTACAAGAAAGTTATATTTTCGATCTTAAAAAATGAAATTTTATTTTTTAAATAAATGACATTGGTTGTTCCAACTAATATCTTATCTTTTTTTAGTTGTCTCCTTTTTAGAAGTCTGTTATTCCTAGATATTTCACGATCGGCAAAACAGCTATAAGACATTCCATGAACTGTCTAATAAATTTAGACATATCATGTAATTTTGGAACATTACACGATCTGGCCTAATTGCATTTCATGAACTGTATAAAAAATTTTAGCCACTTCGTGTAACTAATCGACCATTACACGATCTGGCTGCAGTTCATGAAGTGTCTAGAAATGTTTAGACAGTTCAAGAATTGTCTAATTTCACGATCTGTGTACGACATATATAACTTAATAAGGTTATATCAATCCAAATCAGGACCTATTAACAAATAATGTAAAATGATATATATTCGCATGTCACGCTATGTCAAATCTGATGTGACGTCTGCAAAAATTTAAAAATTTGCTTTTCTTCAAATATATTTAACTTTTATTTTTAGTTTACAATTTTTTATACCCTTGAAGTCTGTATAAGAGAAATCTGGCCCATCTTTCCCACGATTTGATGACGATCATACGAATTACCCGGATCTCTTTGTAATAATTAGAATTTAACGACTTTGTTGTTCTAACTTTCAAATTTGTAATATGATGAAGTCACCTTCACGTTTTCCGCTTAAAGTCGTAAAAATAAGACCTATAAGGCAATATTTCAAACTACGCATAGATTTATCCGGGTTTCGAAAAATCTAGAAACGCGATGATGCAAAATACCCTTGAGCTCCCTCTCATTTTTTTGAATTAATTTTCCTATGAGTCCCATACAGACGCCGATGTTGCTAACCCAATATAAACCGCCCAAAAATCATTTTTAGGCAGTTCGCTTCGACCAGGATACCACTGGTTAGCTCCGCGTCGATCGGCTCCGAGCAAATAATTATTCGGAAGCACAATAGACTCCGTAATATACAAGTCAGTGCCTTGCTCGTGGTTAGGCTGCACTTAGTAGCACTAACGTGGTAGATTCATCGGCTATTCGATGTATGCCATAATTTATATTCCAATTTCTTTTATTTTATTAATTTCCGCCATTGAGCGTTGACTTTTTCCGCGTAAATCGCGAAGTGTATTATTTTCCGCCAAGAGAGCGTTAATTTGTCCGCGTAAATCGCGAAGATTATTTTCTGCCGAAGAGCGTTGACTAGATTTTAAGGATTTCTTCGTTAAAATTCACGAAGCTTTATTGTGATAAACTTGTCCGCTAAAAAGCGTCAATTATAATTAAAATTAATTACTTAACTTCTCCGGAATATCCGAGATACGGTGATTCAATAGTGAACAATACCCATAGAAGGTGAAAGTCCAATAAAACTTGGGCCACTCTCGAAAGAGCAGACTTCCAGGGTAAGCGTACAAAACATTTTACTTTATATTTTTATCTTTTATATCTAACCTTTATGTTCATGTTTTTATGACTATTTTTATATAACATTTATATTGTAACCCAAATTTGTAAACTTATTAACTGGTTTGTCTCAATAAAAATTCAAATAACAGAATTATATTTTTTTACTTGGAATCAAAATACACAATTAAATGAAATAAGATCTCGATTACAAATAAGATTTGAGTTAAACAATAGAATAGGTTACTCGTGACCGAAGTCAGCAAGAGTCCATCATCCTTACTCTCTCTAAGTTAACACTTAGAGATAACGTTCGAGCTTATGTACCGCTCCACACTCCAACGCAATTTTTAATTTAGCTCCCGAACGGACAAAGTGGTAACGTTCAGATATTTGAGATTCTATTTCATTATCCTTGCGCCCATCACTCACTCCGTTCGTGACACTGATATAGACATATCATATTGATAAGGCTTGATCAGGCCTGATATGGTGTAACAGTTTCAAATGCTGTCCAATTGGCCCCTAATTAATTAATTAATAAACTGAAAATAATTAACAAAAACCAAATCAACTAACAGGGTGCCACCAGGTTTATTTTCACGGTTTCTGGAACCGGTCCAGAGCAGAGTGCTAATTTTAGTGTTAGAGAGTGTGGAGGAAGGTGCTGTTGAAAAAAATAAATTTTTAATTTATAATATATCGATATTTAATAACAACGAAAATAACAAATTTCACCATTCACTTAGTCACACTATAATCAACTTAAAAATATATCCTACTAACGGCTAACTAGAACTGTATGACTTACTCTGCTCAAAGACTGCAGTGTGACAGAGATCGTCTTGACTAACTAAACGGTTGACTAAATTTCTTATTGACTATCAACGAACACCTCGCACAAAAACCGCAGTGCACGAGGAGTCGTCAATAACACAGCTACAGAAGTCACAGCCTAGTGACTGCAACGTAGACTTAGAAACCTCTGCAGGTCACACACATAACCCGTACACTCACACACACATGGAATTGACTTTATTTATAAAAATTTATATCAATTCATTTCAACAGATAATATTAACGTTAA